GGGGGGGTAGTTCAAAACACAAACACTAGTCCCGACATACATACAACAGAGAAATCGATTTGTCGCATAGACTTGACCGACAGTATGTGTGGCAACGTGGTGAAATCAGGCACTCGCCAAAAGAATGTAATCAAGGAAACAGCAATTTCTCTGGCCGTCAGGCAATGGTTTTCGAAACCTCTTTTTATGGCTCAGTATATTCTATGTCCATATAAAAACACATTTCTGTGTGGATTTTAAAGAGAAACATTGATCAAAAGCACAAAACATGTACCTTTACAGTTCCCAAGGACACTTCAAGCTCTGGAAGTCACCAAACTTTGGTAGCCATTTTCTTGCTAATATAACCTCTAATTCTGACATTAGGCTTAATAGTTGTAAAACGCATAGAGCAAGCTCTTGAGCATGGATTTGCGCTATAGAAATGAAATTAGTATTATTAGGCGACCCCCACTGCCTTCAATCGTAAATATCTTGACTTCTATTTTTTTTTAAAGATGGGTATTATTTCCAGCAAATGCAAGACAAATAAACAAGCTTTACGATGATACCAATGACAAAATATTTCCCCAACAAAAACTGACGAGCGCCTGATTCCACCTCGTTGCGACAGTTATCCAAAACCAGGCACTTTGCTGACCACCGCTCTTCACTCACTGTAATAACTTTTGTCACCCTGGCGCTCACCACGGGCGCCCAAACGAAGCGCAAGACATCATCTCGCTATGGTCGAGTGCACAGGCAACCTCCCCCCCCCCCCGGCCCTTCATTTGGCTCCAAAAAAGAGTGAAACGGTGCCCTCCATTGGGAGCAGGAAATACGTCAGAGTGCGCACACTGTCTTGGATATTGCAATTGTAATACAAATCTATGGTTGCTCGTTCATCCCAGCCATCCATTAGAGTCGGACATACGAACGAAATACACTGAGACAACAATGGTAAACATAACGTTCATTGGTTTGAATAATTTCCCCGAGTAGCCCGTAGACATGAAAAAGGCCATGGAAACTGGGGGGAGGGCCAAGCCGATTGTCAAGAAATTTCAAACAAGAGATGGTAATCAGCGGCGCACCCTCCAACAACCCACATCGAATTTCTCTCAAATTTTCCAGTTCCCCTTGCGAAATGAGATGATGGGGGAAAACTAGGACCACTCTTGGGCTAACAAGACCTATGACGTCTATATTTCATTCCTGCCACTGAGTGCAGTAGTTGATGATTTCAGGAGAAAGACTTGAAGTGTACACCAATAACCATTTGTCTTACTCATTCACTATTTTTCCTCAAAATAATCTTTAAATTTAGATTTTTTTTAAAGCATATCTCATCCGCATTACCCTCAATCTTATTCAGGGGGCTCTCGTGGCCCAGAGGTTAAGGTGTTGGCCTCTCATTCAAAGGTCCCGGGTTCGAATCCGGGTAGCGACCAAAAAATTTTCTTCTCTAAAATTGTCTCCTTTCACCTCCTTTCCTGCTCTCTAGCATTGTTCTGTTGTCTGCTTTCATTTCCACTTTCTGCCCCCACCCCCTCACCTCCTTTGCCCCCTCCTCTGGGCTCCTGACTCTTTCTGCAGCCTTTCTACTGCTACTCCTTGGCTCCTCCTAACTGCTGTCTTTCTGCCACACCCCTGATCTTCTGGTAGGAAAGATCTACACCTAGCCTTCTCGGACAAGGGCGAAAAATCTCGGAGGGCCCGTGTGCAAGTTGCGCACGTTAAAGATCCCTTGGTGGTCTAAAATCGATAAGAGTAGGCTTCGGCCGCCACCCGGGCAAAATTCAAAATTTCCTACCAACGAAAAAGTATTAGGTGTGTCCCGCGCGCTCATATGACCTTATGCAGTTGCGAGCGCCGTAAAACCCTATACTAAACAAACAAACAAACAAATCTTATTCATATTCCACATCCGAACGAGCATTTTCCACCCAAAACAAAAGGTCCTACATATGTTCCCAAGACTGGAATCATAATATTGGTGAAAAACTCATGATCTCCTCAAATAACATGGGTCTTGGTGTTTGAACACAGATATCTACACTACACTGTTAACTTCATTGGACAACCAAAATGCCACCTCTTTGAAAATTTGCATTGTTTCTGAAATAAAATTTCAGGAAAAAATCTCCAAAACTATCAGTTATCACAAAGCCTAATTCAGACTCATATCAACATGTTCTTGCAGTATGACTGGGAACTCTTCAGTTTAGTTAGAATGACGTTACTATTTTATTGTTACTATTTTATTGTTACAGTAAACGTACTCCAATCTCCCCTCCCCTCCCCCCCCCCCCCCAAAAAAAATGTTTTTATAAAGAAAACTAAGACATTTCTTTCCAAGGAGTAAATACACTGGCAACAAAATTTCATCTTTTTGGACATAAAAATCGTAAAACTTACAGGAAATAATATTTCATGGAATTTTAAAAAGACCTAGAAGAAATGTCTTTGACTTCGACTTAATCAGATCTGGTTGAAACATCATCTTTATCTCACAACGAATAAATGGAAGCAGAGGTCTAGACATGTCTGTAAATTCTTGTACAGATGAAAACTTGGAGAGACAGGTCAAAGGTATCCTCCACACAGTCACGGCACCCTGGTCTGCCCAGACTGTCCGTCCCGACATCACGATAAAACAATACCATCAGTGGAGCTCGGCACGACTCTTTCCTCGACTTGTCAGCGTTTACCTGGAGCCAAAAGAAGTCCGTTGATTATAGGTGAGAAAAGACATCATATCATCGCAGCAGAATTTTAAACAGATAACTCTGAACATGAGGTTTTGGGCCCCCCCGTATTCACTAAGGAAATGAAATATTAAATGTAACGACATTTTTCCAAAGCAGCTTTATAGCCAGCCCGACGGGTGCCGTTAGGTTTTTGCGCTTGCGTAGTAGTCGGAGGTGAGAGTCGCCGCGGCTCTCCCTTAGACAGGATAGCAACATAGAGCGCAGGTTTAATAGGAGAGCGCGTGCTTCTCCTGCGTAGCTAGCCCGTTGAGGTGAAGTAAGAAAGATGTGTTAAAGATGCAGCTTAACAGAGTAGTAGTGACAAAAACATACGTCAGATGCACGTACATCCAAT